TGTAGCTTTTGCTTATTGATGAAATCTTATGTTTTTACCAAATGAAAAAATTATCAATTTATAATTTTTTTAAATAATTAATTATAGTATTTAAAAATGTTATTTTATAATTAATTTTAAATTATTAAATAATAAATATAAACTATGTTATTAATTATTAAATAATATATACGAGTATTGATCATTCTTAACAACTTAACAAAATAAAGAAAATAATGTCTCATATATGTGCCAATAATTATGCCCAGAGGACACCCTTCGGTAATATAATAGGAAAGTTGGCATTACTAGTTAAGGGATTGGACTGTGCTCTTGAAAGGAAGAGACTCTAGAGTTTAGAATGATCTCCTCCCACTTGGATTTGTCTGGAATAAGTGAAGAAGTCAAGGAGCGAAAGAGAAAGAATCCGTCTGGCCTCCGGCGAATTTCATTTTCTATTTTGTAAAGTAAAGCGTACTACTACTAAAATGATATAATTATTTCCAAAAAAATAAATAAATAAAATTATATTATATTATAATATATTTAACTTTTTATTTAAAAATTTATATATAATATTATATATTTATTTAATGATATATTATAATTATAAATTTATAATATTATGTGATATTATAATTATAATATTATCATATTATATAAAAATTAGAGAAATAATTATTGCTGTGATTAATAAATTTTTTAATTTTATAATTACAACTTTTTTGATTGGAGAAAAGATAAGCTGAGGGAATAGACAGAAAATTTTTTATTTAAATAATACAAATTAAAAAAAAAAAGTGAAAGAGAAGGAAAGAGTTTTTTATTTTTATTGTTTTTATAATTTTAAGATAACTAAATAACAAAACGAGAAATGAGAGAAATAAAAGAAAATTAAAGAATATTGTCTTTCATTTTTTTCTTTTCACTTGTTTTAACCGAATAAAGATTTAATTATTAATAAGACACTTATGAAAAAGAAAAAAAAAACATGCATTATTAACGAGGGAGCTCTCAATACTTTCGCCACATAGAGAAATGGTAAGTATTAAAAGCGTGCAAACAAAATCAAATAAAATTAAAATTAAAAAAATATTTATGATGAAGGGCCATTCGTTTGGTCCAAAAAGGACCATTTGCTTCGGAATTCATTTTTGGTAATAAGAAAATCATTTAATAAGACCTATCTTCTTGGAACAGTGACAGAAATTTATTTTTGCTGGTAAGAAATCAAACCAACCAAGTTTCTCATGAAAATATTGTCGCATTTTAAAATAAACTTCCCTTTTAGAATTTTTAAGGATATAATCTCTCGATTTACTTCTATTCATTTTAAATATATATATATATATATGTTTAGGTTAATAGAAATATAAGGGAGGAAGTGAAGAGAAAAAAAAGATTCATCTACTTAATTATTAAAAGAATGGAAAGAAATGGGAGGAAAATGAGATTGAATAAAAGGATGTAACATCTTTTCCTTCTCTCTTTTTTTTTTTCTTTTTTCTTTTTGGCTTTCATTTTCCTAATTTAAATATATTTGTTTAATTTGTATCTTTATCACATAACTTAAAAATATAATAAATTTATTTTTTATAATTAATTTATATAAAAAAATATAAAAAAAATAATACTTATTTTTGTATCATTGATATATGAATAATTTTAATTAATTAATTAAATTAAAATTAATATTTATACTTTTTAATATAAATTAATCATAAAATAATATATTAATTATATCATTAAGTATACATGCTGAAAAAAAACGGAAAAATTACTAAAAATTGAATCCAACAAGTTTAACGTCTTAACTCTAACTCTGACTTGCAAGAGAATACTTAAGTTGCCGTATTTATGATAATTACAAATTCAACCCCATCATCCATCCTCCTAACTCTTCCCACCCTCTCTGCCCTACTCCCCAACCGCAACGCTCATTAATTCTCGGACTAAGTAATAGGCCATCCCTGCATTGCTGGTCCACTTTATTGCCAGAAAAATGACAACACGTTGAAGCCTAGATTTTCTTTTTTGATTGGCTGCCGCCCAATTATGGGTAAATAGTTTTTGTCAATAGGTACATCCTTCACTTTTATTTAAGCAGGACAATGTCTTTGGCAGATATGCACCTTCTTCGATGTTCTGAGTCCTTTTAGAGAAAAACCCACAAAGAGGAAGAAAGGTTAGATTGGAAAGTGGAAACCTTTCTGTTTTTCCATCTCTCATCTGGGTTTTGCTCCTCTCTGTTGTTGAGAATCTGAGTCATTGGTTGTGGTTGGAGAGGAGAACAGAGGAAGGGTATTGAGGCAAAAGAATTGATAGAATGGATGCACCCTTATCAGCTTGGCCATGGGAGAACTTGGAAATCTTCAAGGTAAGGGAACTGGGATTCATTTGATTTTCCTTTTTCTTCTTTTTCTTTCCCAATTCAATTAGTACTGATGTGGGTTTCTCTGTTTTCTTGATTTTGTGGTAGTACCTGTTGTATGGACCTTTAGCTGCAAAAGTTGTATATTCATGGATCTATGAGGAATCAATCAGTGATGGTTGGTGTTTCCATATTCTCCTTATTTGTATGCTCAGAGGACTTGTTTATCAGCTATGGAGCTCCTACAGCAACATGCTTTTCCTCACTCGCAATCGCCGGATTAATCAGGAAGGGATAGATTTCAAGCAGATAGACAAAGAATGGGACTGGTAATTCATCCACAAGACGTGCTTCTTGATTATAATCCACGTCTTCTTCTATCAACATGAGCACCTAATTTTCTTTTACTTTTTTCATTCCATTTCTCTCCAGGGATAATTTCTTACTTCTTCAAGCTTTAATTGCTTCCATGGCGTGCTACATCTTCCCTCCTTTCTTTCATAGTATTCCTGTATGGAACGCAAAAGGCTTTGTCCTGTTATTGTTGCTTCATGTGACAATTTCAGAGCCTTTATTCTATTTGGCTCATAGATGTCTCCATGGAAGCTACCTTTTTACTCATTACCATTCTCTACACCATTCATCACCAGTTCTCCATCCCTTCACAGGTAAAAAAACATTGGCTCAAACCCAACTGTACCTTTAATTTCTTTCTCGCTCTCACTTTTTATGTTCTTGGAATACATAATCAATCATTTTCTCATGTATTTACCTGTTTAACTGTTGCTTCAGCTGGAAATGCAACCCTTTTGGAGCAGCTGATCTTATCTTTGGTCATGGGAATTCCAATTATGGGTTCATCTTTGATGGGATATGGATCGATAAGCTTGGTTTATGGCTATGTCTTGGCATTTGATTTTCTAAGATGCCTGGGGCATTGCAATGTGGAGATTATACCCCACCAGATTTTTGAGATGTTGCCTTTCCTTAGATATCTAATCTATACCCCCACGTAAGCAACTTTATCTCTTGTTGGTTGGTACCTAAATGCATCACCGAATTTCTGTTTAGGGAAACTGAATTTTTAACTGTATGTAAAATGATTCTCTGGAGTTTACTACCAAGTCTGCATGAATTGGTTTCTATGACCTTAATTAGATGTCAATTGGCATCCAATTAAAGTTTGATGGACCTTTCTCAACAGTCATTCTGTATTTGCAGAATTTGACTTTTCTTCTGACACAAGACCACCAAACTTTAGAAAGCCATTTAATAGTTAACTGCTTAAGGTGATTAATGTTTACATGACAACTTCAAATTTTAGTTGTTTTAGTATATATTTGTTTTCAAGTTTCTTTCCCTGTTATATCATCATGACATTGATTATGCTTACAGGACAGAAAATTTTATCTATCTAGTGGAACCGATGTTAACAGTTAACTACTTAAAAGTGCGGTGCTAAAGGTCTAAATGAGGTTGCAATTCATTTCAGCAATAAAAAGCTACAAGAACAAGTGATAATTGATGTATAATTGATGTTGGGATGTGTGCTTGCAAACATTACCCACAAATGGTTCATAGATTTCAACTTATTTGTGGTGGTTTATTTTGTAGATATCATACCCTGCACCACGCAGAGATGGGGACCAACTTCTGCCTCTTCATGCCTTTGTTTGATGCAATGGGGAAGACACTTAACAGCAATTCATGGCAATTACACAGGAAAGTTAGTTCAGATTCAGGTAGGTGTAAGTTCCGTTGTCATTTTTCTTTTTCTTTGTTACCACCCCTTTTTAATAATGTTCTTCAAGGGAACATTTCCATTGGAAACATTCATAAAATTGTTTAGTAATTAAGGTACATTCAAGTTTTAGCCGTTGACAATATCAATCAAGGCATCTACCAGTACTTATAAAATTACATAAACCTATTTTGTCTGTGGACAGTGATGGATAAACTCAACTTTGAGTCCTAATTACTTTTGTTGCAGCAAAAAGTGGGAGGACACCTGATTTTGTGTTTCTAGCACACGTAGTGGATATAACATCGGCATTGCACGCACAATTTGTCTTAAGATCATTTGCGTCATTGCCGTTCGTGACAAGGATCTTTTTGCTGCCTATGTGGCCTGGAGCTCTTTTTTTTATGCTGATGATGTGGGCCTGGTCTAAGACCTTCCTCTTCTCTTTCTACAACCTCAGGGGGCGGTTGCACCAGACATGGGTGGTACCAAGGTTTGGATTTCAGGTAAATTTCTTGGCTTTAGTTTGAATTTTTGCCAGTGGCTAGATTAGGAGTGTAATTATCTGATTGCTTTTTCAACATTTTTGCAGTACTTTTTACCTTTTGCAACAGAAGGCATTAACAAGAAAATAGAGGAGGCCATTCTGAGGGCTGATAGAATAGGGGTTAAAGTCATTAGCCTTGCTGCATTGAATAAGGTTTGTAGTTCTTTCTTTTAACTAAATGCAAATTGCTTAGCTTTCTTAATCATATACAACAATTAAGATTAAGGGATATTAACCTCGATCCTCGTAAGACTTCAATCTACACTTTAAAGTAGGACCAAACTAGACCTCATAGATGTCCTTGGGCTTTTGAAATAAATGGAAAAGTCTCTGAAATTAGATGATGATATCTGATCATGGTAGTTGGAAGAATAAATGTTAAACTGGCATCAATGTTTTTCTGCATTCAAAAGCAGTAATGAGGGGTGGACCATTTGCTTTTATAAGAGATTTGAGGGTGATGTATGATCAACATTGCCCAGCATCTAAATCGTCTTATACCATCTGTATGAGTTATCCACTTCAGCCTATGTAAAATACACAATTGAAGTTGTCAGTCTCTGTGAATGTCTTGTCGCATAGCTTGACTAGGGAAACTTCGAGCACTGATTAGGACTGTCAAAGCAAACATCCATGTGTTCTGGTCCGTTTCCTTTGAGCTGAACATATCACTTCTATAATCTGTCTCAACTAGAAAGTTAGGTTCCTAGGCCCCTCTTGTTTTGTGATTTCTAGACTTCTGAAGAAATATGGCATAATTATGAGTTTATGTTGGAGTAGAATTGGATTGGAGACAATCTAATGATCTTTTAGTGAAGAAAAGAATAAAAAAGACAAGCTAATCGGAGTGCCACCACAAGTAAAAGTCTAGGAGATGAGTCTGTTAGTGTTGGTAACTTGGGGACATAATTATAAATTGGGTTTAAGATCAATCCATCAATTTTGCTGTTGCTTTAATTTTTAATCTTGGATTATGTTATTGGTTCATTAATCTATTTGATTCTTAAACTTATTTGCAGAATGAAGCGCTAAATGGGGGAGGAACACTCTTTGTTAACAAGCATCCTGAGCTTAAAGTTCATGTTGTCCATGGGAATACCCTAACTGCTGCAGTTATTCTTAATGATATCCCTAAGGATGTCAAAGAGGTGTTTCTAACTGGAGCCACTTCTAAGCTTGGAAGAGCAATTGCCCTCTATTTATGTCAAAGGAGGGTACGAGTACTAGTAAGTATCTTAAGTATCACCACCAACCAATCATCCTCTTAAAACTGTCCTAGCTTTCAAAAAGTTAAAAACCATTGGATATGCCACCTACCAAACTTTTTCTTCCTTTATCTTTCCATGGAAATCCTAATTAGCTGGAGTAGTATTTTATCATGCAATTCCTTGTTCTGATGGTTGAGATATGCCACAGATGTTGACTCTATCAACAGAGAGATTCCAAAATATTCAAAAGGAAGCCCCTGTTGATTTCCAACACTACCTGGTGCAAGTGACAAAGTACCAAGCAGCTCAAAACTGTACGGTAAGATGCCATACAAAATTTCATTTTATTCATCCGTTAAATTGATAATTTGATAGTACATTACATAAGTATATTTAATTTCCTAATTCAAAACAAAGAATGAAATTCTACCCTATTAAACAAGAAATTCTATGAGAAAAGCAGAAAAAAAAACAAAAACTGTACAATTTAAACTTGGGGTAACTACCATAAACCTAGTCTGTGGTTGTAACAATTCATCTAGAAGGCAGAGTGTTTGAAATTGACTGGTGTGGAAATCTCAAATGTTACACAGACATGGATAGTTGGCAAGTGGATAACACCAAGGCAGCAAAGTTGGGCACCAACTGGAACCCATTTTCATCAGTTTGTTGTCCCACCCATATTGCCCTTTAGAAGGGACTGTACTTATGGTGATCTTGCAGCAATGAGGTTGCCAAAAGATGTTGAAGGGCTTGGAACATGTGAGGTAAGCACTCCCCTTAACCTCCCCCGCTATAGCATT